TGTAATAATTGACACAAAATGTAATAATGTTATTACATAATGTGGCTGCGAGTATTACAAAATCCGTTGAAGACTTTTATTACATTTWGTGTCAATTATTACAAAATGCGGTTGTAACACAAATTTATTACATTTTGAAGCCTGATTTTATTACATGACATCATGCGCTGTCATTACAAAATGTGGTCTTACATACCTGATAACATTCAAAAATTAGACCTCAATATTTGTAATCTAAAGTTTGACTCACCTCTTTAGCCTGAGAAGTGACCAGCTGCAGCCAATCAGAGACTAATTAGTTGGCAGTAAACAAACTATTTAAACTCCCAGTATTATCATCCAGTTATATGCAGCATTATTTTTAACCATACAATTCATTTTAAAAAGCTGCTGTCTTTGAAGATTTGCATTTTTTATTTTAGGTCAACAAATAAAAAGCCAAGACAAATAAATCAGCACAAGTGACAGTTTATTTAGCAATACTTTAAAGCTGGCTGATGATATTATTTGTTCACTAAATTTAATAACCATTTTTTCTCATTTTTCTACAAACATTTTAAATGACCTTATGCTAGATGACATATCATTGTCACTACTGATATTATTGTACTGTAATGGTATGCGTGTGTGTGTGTGTGTGTGCTAACCATTTTGCATTTTGATTACTGCCCACTAGTGGCAGGGATTGAAAGTGCAAAATTAAAGTTTCATGATGAGATGCAAAAACAGGAATAGATCGAAAGTAAGGATTTGTGCTATTTAGTCTTTACAGCATGTCTTATTTTACAGCATGTCTTATTTTGCTTAAATTAAATGTAAAAATACAGAGAACAAACATTTGTTATGTTGTGTAAGCCTTTTTAGATAAGCCATTATTTATTAGTATTGTTGCTTTCAGAAAGCTTTTTGTTTAAATCCAGACAGGTTATTATGTGTTGTAAAACTGTGTATATTTTTAACTCCTATTGTTTAGTTTTATTGTTTTTAAGAGAGCTCCTTATGTAAGTGGTATAAAACAAAATGCCTGAGCTGCTGAAATAAATAAGAAAAAAAAAGTTCAGAAACAACAGTAGAAGCATTTTCACACCTGTAGGTAATGCCACTGCAAATAAAACTTAAAAAAGTGTCTGCATTTGAAAGGAAAAAAAATTGTATAGGTCTTCTGGACGGGTTCCTCTCTAATGAAACGTTTCGTCTCTCCTCCAAGAGACTTCTTCAGTCTGAGAGTTTCAGGCAAAATTCAGGCTTTTAAGCCCTGCCTCCATGTGACTGATACTCACATCACATGGCTATCGTTCACACCTAATTAACACCTATTGTTAACAGGGGTGGAGTGATACTGCCAATGGCAGCGCTGTAGGAGGGGGACAACTGAAAACGGAGGCCTCCACCTC